TATATATATGCAATCCAATGAACGAATAGTGCAAAACTAGTATCTAACTACCCTGAGCCCTTTCCACACCTAATGAGTCTTTTCAAAGGCAATTACAAAACATAGACAGAACAAACAAATAAAACAAATAACCACTGTGTTTGCAAAGCTTTACATGGCTATTTCTGCATGAATTAAATTTTTTAAAATTTATTGTGTCAACTAGTTTATTTCAACGTATCACGGATGGTTGAAAATATTTTTATTGATCGACGAGCCTTAACCACATTTGTTGTTTTATGTAAAGTTATGTTAGCGCAAATTATATCCCTAATATTTCATGGTCATTGTATTAATTATAGGTTATTAGGCAAACTTAGAGAATTATTTTAAAGAAAATGTGACGGCAGCAAAAAATAATTTCATTTGTGTATAACTGTCTTTTCCTAGTCTTTTTAACGGGTTAAAACCGCTTCGGTCCTAAGGCGGCATATCCAGTAAGATTGAAGGATTAATTTCACAGAATAACAGTTCCTAAATGTATTACATTTTTTAGATAAAGTTATTATTGCACAGTACTTTGAAACTATCTTTTTATATATTCATGACAATACATTATTGATGCATTTTACTTAAATGTAATAATGTCGGCATATATATTTATTTTAAAAAAACGAAGATTCTGTCTCTTTCTAACAAGCTGGATAGACTTTTAAGTCTTTTGGATTTTAACAAGCGATTATAAACTAGATTTATTTTTCTTTCTTCTTTTTATTTTCTACTTCATCAGTAGCAAATTTTTTAAATGTAAATTAAGGCACAATTCCCGACATGTTTTTTTTTGTACTAGTGCCATACTTCTCAATGTCCAAAACGGTATTATGGTATTGAATATGTTCGTGTATCGTAAATATTTAAGCGAAAAAATGAATATGAGAATAAAAACCCAATAAGGTATTTGCTGTGATAGCCTTCTCCTTGTAATAACACCAGTTATCCAGATAGTGTAATCGTAGATTGATCGGCAGTACTGAACTTTAGTCTTAAATGTCTTATAGACCTAGCTTGTATCGGTCCATATGAAAGTTATATGATGGAATTTAATTGAGATGCTATTCGCAAAAATGAATAACCACGAGAAAACCCATTTATTCTTATCTTATTTTCGTATTTACCATCAAAGTCTGACATGGATTAATGGGCATATAGTTTTGTTGTTAAATTTTAACAGTACTGACCAATGGCTGACGTGGAAAAGATGGGGGTGTGGCAGTTAGGTTTCAGAAATCCAGACATGTGTTCCATCTGCTATCACTAATTGCTTTTCCTTCTCTCGTAAGTCTATGGCAGACATGGAATAAAGATGGCATACTGCAGTCAGTCATATTAACTAAAAGCACCCCACTCTTTTTTTATTTCATCTGCAGGTGAACTTGCCAGAAAGTTCGTAACCTTCTATGACCTGACCCTGCAATGCACCGTCCCCAGCCTTACGGAATAATAAACTAACCACAGTTACAGGTGGGGGGTACTTAGGGGATGAACACAACTGTTAATGTTCATGCATTCCTATTTTCTCTCAAACTTGCCTCAACATACGAACATAGCTTCACATAATTGTAAACTACCGTTTATAATGCCAATGATTCTTGCTACGTACATATTTACCTCTGAATACATTTCCAAAGACAGAAAATTTCTCCATTCAATTAATAACACTCGTGGATATTTCCTCATGCAGACAATAATTCTTGTGCAAGTTTATATATTTCTCATGCACTTAATTCTACTTGTACAAGTTTTATCAAGAGTGAAGGTACTTTGTACTACATCTATTTGAGTAATATGACTTTGCGTCATTCTTTCTAAGCGAGTTGCCGTTTTATTGTAAAGTCACAAAGTCACATTTTTTTCAGTTGTAACGTCATAAACTGTTATATATATATATATATATATATATATATATATATATATATATATATATATATATATATATATATATATATATATATATATATATATATATACACACACACACACACATTTCAAAATTATTTAAATTGGATTAGCTTTCACGGTAAATTGAATTTTGTGTGGTTACTTTGTGAATATTGACTTTATAATTATTTTCATGCAAACGATTACTTTGGAAATAATTAATGAGACTCAAATTAACTTTGTATGAGTATCAAAAGTTTTCCCACCCCGCCAAACGAATCCGTACTAAAAAAAAAAGTAGGAGTGTAAATGAGAAAACGTCAAAATTTATTCTTTCTTTCGCCGTTGTGTTGCGTTATCCCATGCTATCTATTTCTTGGATTTATTACGTAGATTTGAGGATCCTATAAGTACAGATCTTTAAAATGCATACACTTTATTTTGATTCTTTTGGCAATGTTCACTCAACAATATTTCTCCAGTTTTAACCATACTATCCAAATATCACGTATGACACAGTGTACCTTAACCATACTATTCAAATATCAAGTGTGACACAATATACCACACCATATTATCTAAGTATCACGTATGACTCAATATGCATTAACCATACTATTCAAATATCACATATGACACAGTATACCTTAACCATACTATTCAAATATCACGTATGATACAATATACCTTAAACAAACTATTCAAATATCAAATGTGACACAATATACCATACTATACTATCTAAGTATCACGTATAACTCAATATACATTAACCATACTATTCAAATATCACGTCTGACACAGTATACCTCAACCATACTATTCAAAATATCACGTATGACAATATACCAACTTGCATATAGTGATCACAGTGGAAAATGTTTAAACTTGACTACTTCAAAGAATTAGTAAATATTATCTTTGTGGGAGACTCGCTATTAAATGAGACATATTAAGATGTAGAAACTGCACCCATAAGAACAGAAAAGATTATTATGGGTTTTTTTCAAACTATAATTTCTACTTCTTGCTAATTAAAATTAGAAAATGCAGCTGAAATATTGTTTGAATGTTATCTTTACATATAATAATTCCGTAAACCGTTGCCAAACCATGAAAGTGGTAATATATTTTTGATTGAATTGTCCAGGAATGATATATAATGGATGTTATATAATGGTCATTTATTTTGGACGAGTTTACATCTGTTTAAATATTTTAAGGAATTCACGTACTTGAATTCAACGTACTAAAACCTATTTGCATTTAAATTATTAGTAGAATGTCTTGAAATTTATATTTTAGTTTTAAACCAGTAATTAGAAATTTTGGTCCAGACCAGTCGTTGGAAATATGTATAATGCCGTTCAATTGATTTTGTTTTTGTAAAATATCTTGGAACATGATTATTTTCACCCAAAAATGTTGTACTTTCACAAGCACAATCCGAGTCGTGGAACCTGCAAAACCTAGCTGCTGCATATCCTGTCAGAGAGGAAAAGAAGAGAAATAACACTTTTAATAATTTAAAAAATATCTCAGGTAGAAGTTCCCACTTCAAAAACTAAGTTTTATTTTCATCTTGTGTCTTGATTTTAACGAGGTTCTTGAAAGGCAGCGTCTCTACTTCCCGGGGTGACCCTCGAAGGGCGTGTCCGTGACAATATTGGAGTTAAATTTGTGCAAGAGGCACATGTTGGTTCTCACAGGCAGTTGTGTCACGTGACGGTGTCACCTGGGTAGTCGGGGCGTGAGAACCTGGAACCGATCACAGCGGCCATTGTGTTCTGATGTTGTTCAAATCATCAACTCCCTGCCGGATTGATTCATTGACTCTATAACCTGCAGTCCAGGTCATCTATTACTATTACGACTGTCCTTTGTCCAGGCAAGAGGTCGATCGCCTTCCCGTGTTACATGATGTTGTCTCTATGTTTCTACCCGGGAAATGGTCATTACATTTTCGTGCAATATAAAAATTAGACAATTAGAGATTACAAAATTTTACGATTTAAGACTTATATGGTTCGTTTTGAGCAGCCGTTACTTTTTCCTCAATACTGTCTTCATTACATGATACAGTAATAACAACTACCGTCATTAAATGACACAATGCAATAATTAACACTAGATATACTTCTGCTTTCACACGATACAATACTAACTCTTTTAAAAAGGATACAATACTGTATTTGCTATAGGATACAATCCTGTCTTCTTTGTAAGATGCAATACTGTCGCCATTACCGGATACAATTTTGTCTTCATTGCAGGATACAAGACTGTCTTCATTGCAGGATACATAACCGTTTTATTACAGGATACAATACTGTCTTCATGACAGGATACAATACTGTCTTCATTACAAGATATAATTATGTCTTCATGGTAGTCAACAATATTGTCTTCATGACAGGAATACAATATTGACTTCATGACAGAATACCATACTGTCTTCATTAGAGAATACAATACAGTCTTCATTAGATGTTATAATTTTGTCTTCATGACAGGCTACGATACTGACTTCAAGACAGGATACAATACTGTCTTCATTGCAGGATATAATTCTGCCTTCATTACAGAATACAATACTAACTCTTCATCGCGGGATGTAGTACCGTCTTCGTTACACGATACAATACTAACTTTCTTTATTAAAGGATACAATACTAACCATTTTAATTACTGGATACAATACTGTCTTCATTACTGGATACAATAATAATTCTCTTTGCCTAAATTGACAAATACAGATTTAAGAAACAAAAGCTGGTTTTGGTTACTTACTCTGAAACTATTTCTAATGTGTGTGTGTGTGTGTGTGTGTGTGTGATTTAGATTTTTTAACGTAGCTTTATAAGTTTTTCAGATATATTACTATAATGTCTGCAGTGTGACAGTTTATGGTGATGTCTTACACTGGGGCATCATGCCGCAGACATGTGCCATGATGTCCCATGTCCCACCCGATCACATTATCCTGACACCAGGTCGACCAGTCCTAACACTAACCCATAATGCTGAGCACAAAGCGAGGCAGTTGTTAGTACCATTTTCGTTTAACAAAACGTCTTTTTGTATGACTCAGCCGGAGCTCAAACCCGCTACCTCCCGCATCAGAGGCGAACACTCTCACAACTGGGCCACTGGAGCGGTTGAACTGTTTCTAAACCAGTTTTGTTTTCTGTTGATCATTTTTAGAGTTACCTTACTTGTGTCAGCCAGGTAAACGTATCCATTTATTTTAGCCAATGGTATTTCAATACTGTATAAGCCGTTAACTTTGTTTGTTTGCACATTAAGCTAAAACTTGTACAAAAAATCTTTGAAAATGAAAGGCTGTTATTTTGTATGGAATAAGACACCCCAGTACCTGATTCGTTCAAGCTCAGGCTAGTGACAATATGTGTTGTTTTTTTTTTCAGCTACATAAATACAAATATTTGTACTTAATCAATGTCATTTGCATTTCTAGAACATAAACCTGTACGTCATTTTCTGCCAACGAAAGGTTTCAAATTTGTGTATCGTCAGCATCGTCATTTATTCAAGTCGAAAAGGATTAAAATGGAATGCTGGAGAACCCATGCGTGACCGTGGATTGTAATGCATCTTCATTAAAATTCTGTATGAAGCAAGAATTAGACATTTGTTTCTGAGCTTACTAGAAACTGTTTAGAGCAGCAAAGCATAGATAAAATATGGCTTCAATTCGTACTCATGATATGCATTGCAAGATAACATTCGACAGACCGGAAGAAAGAGTCACCCCAGTTTGGAAACAAATTTCATGCCGAGTTCAGTTAGTAATGTCTCTACCTCCCTCCCTTCCACCCTCCTTCCCTCCCTCCCTCCTCTCTCTCTCTCTCTCTCTCTCTCTCTCTCTCTCTCTCTCTCTCTCTCATTAAACAATATATTATTTATACAGTAACATAAGTCAATTTAAAGATGATAACAGTATGGCTGCAGATTGTTTCTGTGTTACATAATGAAGCAAACGAAGAAATAAGACGTTGATCATTCACAGCCATTATAGTCTCATTTGTGGAATATCATCATAATGTTTGATACCTTATTGGTAACAATATCTTATTGACAGTTTAATTTTGTAAAAAAAAGAGTCTTTTCCTGATTAAACACTTTAGAGAAGCATACAGTGTGTTATGCTGCATAGTGATTGTCACCAAAACAAACTAATTTCTTCATCGCAATTAAGCACTTAAAGCAAAGGTATTCGTGTTGATTCGATCCTGGTTATATCTTTAAGCAGGGGACTTTTATTTAAATATGTAATTTTACAGTAGCATAGTTCATTCAAACCAGGAGATTCTATTTTATTCCATAAAAATATTTTTGTTTTAACTGATATAAATATAATTGATATAATCAATTATTTTACCCCCTGCGAATCTACGCAAGTCGATCTGAACCCAAACACACTACCCAGAAAACTAAATGGCCGATTCATATCTGAGCCCTCCCACAACTCAGAAAACTAAATAGACGATGGAATTTCTAAATTGGTTCAGTACTCTAGCTTAAACCCTTCGATGTCTCCATGGTCTGTCGAGTTTTTATTCTCCTATCTTTGGGTTATAGCAAGTTGAAAGATAGACTATTTTTTAAATCTCAATTCAAATTATCTCACTACTAAACACTTAGACAATCCTTTCAGAGTTATCTTGGTTTGTTCAGAATTAATATTTCTGATGACGCTTGCCATTATGCCCCCACTAACTCAGGCACACAAGCAGATGAGTTCTACAATACAGCGATGCCTTTGTTTTATTTATTTATCTATTTATCTGCACCTAGTCTGGAATATAATACCTTTTGAAGGTGACGTAGCGGTCAACTAGCAATAAACAGAAGCATCTATTACAAAAATCAAGATTGATAAAAAAAAATATTGACGTTCATCAAAGACGCACAACGAAATGTTGGTTTGTTTCCGCTATGTCCACTGTAAGGTGTTTCGCCTATATAAAGCTTAGTTATGTTGACCAGTGACATTAAAGTGAATTGCTCGAGAACACAACATGAGAGCTTGTCCGGACGGTCCAGGGAATCGTATCTGAGTATGATGGAATCTACATTGTTACTACATTGTTAGCTATAGAGCTACAAGCACAAATCAGTGATTATTTTGTTGTCAACCATAAAGGAACTTTCAAAACATTATTGGCTATATCATGCCAAATACGGCTGATTTGATAGTTCGAACCCACATACTTTAGATTGCGAATCTGGCACTCTAACCAATCAACCGGTGTTGTCCCTTAACGGATATCAAACCCGCCACCGTTGAATAACAGACAGGATTGCTAAGTATATAATACTGTAATAAAATTAAGGTGATGCGCCTTTAGTATAAGCAATCCTTAGGTTTGTGTGATTACTTGTTTGATTATTGAAATTCGGTGCAATGGGAAATATTCCTTAGCACGAAATAATTAGTCAATTATTAGGAGCAAACGTCACGGAAAGTGTTAATGAGTTTCCCAGATGCAATAGTCAATGATTAGCGAATTCAGACCCAATCCGCATGACTGTCCCTGTCATGATGTAGTACTTTATAAAATCTAGTGGTGCACATCGGTGGTGTGACTGCAGCGGCAGTATTTATAGTAGGAAACCGGTAAATTACACAATGGAATAAACGAGAAAGGACTCAGAAGATATCGTTTATGTCGCCATAGTGGCAAATGTCATGTAGGTTTACTGGTGTGATGTGCCTTGATCGAATGGCCTCAGGTGGCGCAGTTAAAAAAGTCACCAGTGTTAGGGATAGTTGTAGAGTTTCTACTGTGTGAACTACTGGCGGAACGGAAAGTTAATGTAGAGAAACTATGCGGATGTGCTGCTGATGGTCATTTGGCAAGTTGTAAATAATGTGGTCTTACATTAATTAGAGAAATATTTATGCACAGAATGGACTTGTCGGGCTTTCCAACTTACAACTGAAGTTGTATAGAAGTCTTTGGAAATATGGGGTAAACTTATGACTTCTAGAGGGATTCGCGTCAGGATTTTGACATCGCTCGGTCAAGCAAAAGACCCCTTGGTTGTAACAATACCTTGACACATGTCTATATATGTCTGTGTTCAAGTGATAAAGAAAGGATTGCTAAGTATGCCTTGACACTGCTACTACATATGACTATTAAAATGATATAGACAGGACTGCTAAGTACATATTGCCTTGACACAGGTCTATATACGTTTGTGTTCAAATGATATAGGCAGGACTGCTACAACAAAATGCCTTGACACAATTCTATATATGACTGTGTTCAAATGATATAGACAGGACTGCTAAGTACATAATGCCTTGACACAGGTCTATCTATATACGATTGTGTTCAAATGATATAGGCAGGACTGCTACAACAAAATGCCTTCACAATTCTATATATGACTGTATTCAAATGATATAGGCAGGACTGCTACAACAAAATGCCTTGACACAATTCTATATATGTATTCAAATGATATAGGCAGGACTGCTACAACAAAATGTCTTGACACAATTCTATATATGACTGTGTTCAAATGATATAGGCAAGACTGCTACAACAAAATGCCTTGACACAATTATATATATGGCATTGTTCAAATGATATAGGCAGGACTGCCACAACGAAATGCCTTGACACAATTCTGTATATGACTGTATTCAAATGATATAGGCAGGACTGCTACAACAAAATGCCTTGACACAATTCTATATATGTATTCAAATGATATAGGCAGGACTGCTACAACAAAATGTCTTGACACAATTCTATATATGACTGTGTTCAAATGATATAGGCAAGACTGCTACAACAAAATGCCTTAACACAATTCTATATATGACTGTGTTCAAATGATATAGACAGGACTGCTACAACGAAATGCCTTGACACAATTAAATATATGACTGTATTCAAATGATATAGGCAGGACTGCTACAACAAAATGAATAGACACAATTATATATATATATGACTGTATTCAAATGATATAGGCAGGACTGCTACTACGAAATGCCTTTACACAATTATATATATGACTGTGTTCAAATGATATGGGCAGGACTGCTACAACAAAAGGCCTTGGCACAATTCTATATATGACTGTGTTCAAATGATATAGGCAGGACTGCTAAGTACATATTGCCTTGACACAGGTCTATATACGTTTGTGTTCAAATGATATAGGCAGGACTGCTACAACAAAATGCCTTGACACAATTCTATATATGACTGTGTTCAAATGATATAGACAGGACTGCTAAGTACATAATGCCTTGACACAGGTCTATCTATATACGATTGTGTTCAAATGATATGGGCAGGACTGCTAAAACGAAATGCCTTGACACAATTCTATATATGACTGTATTCAAATGATATAGGCAGGACTGCTACAACGAAATGCCTTTACACAATTCTATATATGAATGTATTCAAATGATATAGGCAGGACTGCTACAACAAAATGCCTTGGCACAATTCTATACATGACTGAGTTCAAATGATATAGGCAGGACTGCTACAACAAAATGCCTTGACTCAATTCTAGATATGACTGAGTTCAAATGATATAGGCAGGACTGCTACAACAAAATGCCGTTATACAATTATATATATATATATATATATATATATATATATATATATATATATATATATATATATATATATATATATATATATATATATATATATATATATATATATGACTGTGTTCAAATGATATGGGCAGGACTGCTGCAGCAAAATGCCTTGACACAATTCTATATATGACTGTGTTCAAATGATATTGGCTGGACTGCTACAACAAAATGCCTTGACACAATTCTGTATATGACTGTGTTCAAATGATATAGGCAGGACTGCTACAACAAAATGCCTTGAAACACTTATATATATATCTATCTATATATATATATATCTATATATATATATATATATATATATATATATATATATATATGACTGTGTTCAAATGATATAGGCAGGACTGCTACTACAAAATGCCTTGACACAATTCTATATATAACTGTGCTCAAATGATATGGGCAGGACTGCTATAACAAAATGCCTTGACACAATTGTATATATATGACTGTATTCAAATGATATTGGCAGGACTGCTACAATGAAATG